CCCTTTCATGTTAAAATTCTCAAAAAAAAAATCAGAGTTATTGAATTGAACTATTCTTCATTTAAAAGATGTTCCTATATATAATATTATGTATAAACATATATTTCAAAAATAATTTAATATTCCCATATCAATATACTTATACATAATATTATTATGTATTGACTCTAATAATGAATATATACACAAAATATTTTCAAACCCCTTGTTTTTTATTCTAATATTAAAAATTAAAAAAATAAATAGTATAAATCATAAAGAACACACTTTTAATATGATTTATATCATTAAAAATTTAAATAACATATACAGACACTCATATAGAAACATAAAATTACATACTGTTTTAACATTAAAATGATTTATTGTTATCCTTTCTATACATGAAATATTCATATGAACTCGCGCTACATTAAATGTATTAACTTAAAATGTTAAGGACTATACATTAAAAGCAATGATTTTAATGTAAACAATAACAAGGACATTATTTATACGTGTGTATGCATATTATGTATATATATATAAATTTATTTTATTTTTATAGTATTTAAAAATCAAATGAAAATTAAAGGGTCAAAATTTTAATGATGTATGTGTGTAAGAATGTAGGTACATTTATAATAAAAAATAAAAAAGAAAAACAAAAGTAACTAAGTGCTAGCGTCAAATGATAACCCTTTTTTATTTTGTTTAGTTTTTCCTTAAATAAAATCCATTATACTTATGTACTTAGATATCCTTTTGAATCGAAACAACTTCAAAGTAGAATGTCCATTATGCAATAAAATTAAAATTATATAAAATAATATACCTATAAGTGGATGATTTAATGTCATATGGATGTTGTAACTAAAAGAAAAACTATAATATATGAAGACGTCGTCCACCGAAGTTCTTCATTGAAATTCGATAGTATTGTATTTAACTATATTTCTACTATTTTTCTTTCAAAACCCTAAAGTCCACAAGAAACTTATATAAAATATAACATGTTTTTATTATTTTTCAAAAAAGAAAAATTAAAAAATCCTTAGAGATTTATGAGTTGTGGATAGTTGAAATTTTACCACAACAACAGTGCTAGCATCTTATATCTATGATTTTATGTATGATCTCATATAATACAATATGTATATACATATGTAGTAACACGTGTAATTGTACGTGTATTAATGTAATCAATTCTTAATAAATTGTTTTTAATGAAATATTTATGTGAATTCAATTCATTAATTTATTATTTTTTTCTTTTATTTTGAAAACATTATTTTAACTAGATTTTTTTATTGATCGAAATAAAATTAAATAAATTATAATCTAAGTATAATAAAATGAAAGTAAAACTCAACTTTTATCTCACTTTTGTGCTTTACAATAGAGTTGCTCTTATGTCATGTGATTTTAAATAATTGATATGATCTAAAGAATCAAATGTTCAGTATTATAAAAATAATAATTGAATACGAAAGACCGATAAATAGTTTTATCTCTTTTCTATACAGAATATGTAAGACTCAATGGAACTCCTGAACCGACAGAGTGATAGAATACCTTCAAATACGAACAAAAAATACCTAGTAACATTTTTGCGCTCTATTTTTCGAGATATGATGCGTCAAAGTTGGAATTTCTGAAAACTGCCTAATTTGTACAAAAATACGATAAATACAATAGGCTTCCTATATGCTACATTCCGACATTTGTAGAGCATTGAAAATCCCACAAGTTTTGCTCGTAATAGTATAGAAAATCTTAAAAAAAAAGATAAAATAAATCTTATACCAAATAACTCGTTCTCTTATAACAAAAATTTTTCTTATCGTTATGTAATGTGCGCAATATGGGAGTCCCACTTACCAATTTTATAATATGCCTAAGTAGTATCCAAAAATTAAAATGGTATCGATCTGGGCCGCTATTTATGCTAAAATCACAAAAAAATTACAAATTAATGTTTTTGTAAATCTTTACTTTAGTTAAAAAAAAAAATTATAAAAAATTATTATGAGAGAACTGAGAGAGCTTATTGCGTTAAATTTATTTAAGTACTAGAATTATATTTATGTCTGGAACGTCATTTGCATGAGATCGATGTAGTCAATTGAAATTATCATTTTTCACTTGTATATTTTTAATAGATTAAAATCATAATAGAAAGCAGTTTCATTAACTACACTATGGGTTAAAATTATCTAAATTTAATTATAATTTAATAATAAACGTCTGTAAAGATTACAGACAGCAATATACAATTATAGTTTATTGTGATTCAATATATGCAAACTCTGAAAAATTACAAAACATATTAAAAATATAGCTTCTGGCTCTTGACGAAATTATAACAGACAAACTTTCCAGGGATATCGAATCTTGATCAGAATGAACGTTTACCAAGAACCAATTATTCAGTTTTCTAGGCATTATAAACTAAAGGTTATTATTTTACTATTTTTCATATGAAATTTCAAACAAATGTTTATAAATATGGTAGGCTACCTACATCTAATTTTTTTTATTAACATTATAACGTTTGAACATTTCAAATTTAACGAAAATATATGAATTATGTGGTTAGGTAATTTCAATATAACATAAAAAATTAAACAAAAAGTTTATTTCATCAGACGAACATAAGTATATGTGTATGTATAGGTGTGAGGAGAGAATTAAAATGGTCAAATTTATTTGCTAATTAATGTTTTAAAATATATACATGTACATACTTATGTATTATATATACATGTACATACAACTAGTTTTTCTACCTGAAGTATTAAGAGCAACTTGTATGATTGCCTTGAACAAAGCAATCAGAATAATCAGAAATTAATTCAACATGCGACTTTTGTTTTAAAATTTGTTTATGCAAAATAGCGAAAAATAGGCACGTGTATGATTTTATAACCTGATTGAGAATAGCCTGACATCTGAGCAACATATATGCATATCATATAATTAAATTGGCCATTTTTAATTAAAAATTAGGGGCTAGAGGAATGTTGGTCTATTGCGCGGAGTTTAATTTAAATATTTTATTTTATCTTTTCGGGTGATATACTTATTATCTCAACATAGTTCGATTTATTTAACATTTTACCCATTTTATCGATTTTCATTCCGAAATTTTACTAGTCAATTTCCAAAAGTGCGTCTTATTCTTATATACTAAAAACAATAAAACATTGTAAATTCATGAATTGAATTGTAAATGACCTAAAGAAAATTCAATAAATTCGTGGGGTTCAAGCCACAAGAAAAAAAAAAAGAGGAATTAAAATGTAAAAATCAAAACCAAATGTTTTTGTCACAACATCTTTTAGCTATACACATGTAACAATTTCCAATAAAAGTTGTTTTTTTTTTTAAATCAAAGTGCCATTAGAAAGAAAAGAGTTAAAGTGAGAGCAAAACATGCGTCCATTAGAAAGGGTTGCGTTATTTAATAATGGAAAGGGTTGCTTACGTCTTTGATTATTTTAATCTTTAAAAAAAAAGTTTCAGATTATCATATCATCATAAAAAGCCTTCTCAATTGATTTTATAACTGTATATACTGATAATATTAGAAAAAAAGGATTAATTCAATAAAAGATTCAGTCCAATAAATGGAAATGTTGATTTTAAGTGACATATTTTCATTTTTGAAATGAAATGCAATTGAATTGTAAAACTTCGATTTTATGGGGATATTATTAATTTTGATTTTTATCTTTGATAAAATTCTTAAAGCATAAATAATATATATTATAAAAGACCCAAGTTAAGTTAAAAAAAATTGGAAAGAAATTCAACTGCAGTTATAAAATGTTAATTGTTATTTGTTTGTTACTTCAAGTTTGAAAACGTTTGATAGGGCGATAATACACAAACTAATCCTCCTCTTTTATTTCTGGAAGAAACGCAATCATCAAAAAACATTAATTTTCTGAAAACAAACAGAGATGTGAAGAAGAACCTTATGTGAGCTATTACGTTAATCTAAAGAGCGTAAATCTTTAATATTTACAGGTCCCAAGTTAAGCAGTTTTTTTTAAAGGCAGTTTGTTTTAAAATGCAAAAAAACTCTTTTATGGTTCAACTAATGCCATATTTCATGGATAAATTTCTTTATTCAATTTTTGACCAATTTTTTCTCGAGTATATCTTTAAAAGTCTCCTGTAAGAAATATAATTATTTTTTTTAATTTTCTTCACAGAAATTAATTCCAATACCACTTCCGATTTTCGAAATTTGGACATTATTTTTACTTGGTGCCGTTATAGATATATTTGGTGTATGCACAACAATTGAAACAAATTATAAAATATTTTAAAAATGGACTAACATCGTCAACTATCGTTTGAACTAAAAATACTTTATTTGAAGTTACATTGTTATAATTGTTCCACACGAATATTATAGCACCAAATCAAATTCAGAAACGAAGAATGCTTAAAAATCATTCAGATTTAAAAAATATCATTGCTTATAAATCAAAGTACGGATTCAAAATTAAAAACCAAATTTTTTAATACTTTTACAAATAATGTTCACATATAAAAACGTGCTACTAAATAATAAGCTCATAAAGTTCTTTAAAACATTGAAAATATTATAAGTACATGTAAGTATAATTGAAAATGACCGGATGTAAAATGAAATTCTTTACCACGAAATCAGAATTTTAGGTGTAATAATTTTTTAATATTCTTGATTTCTAACCATGACAAATTTTTAATAAACACGACAAATTCTAATTATAAAAAGTTTCTAAAAGAAAAATTTATTTAATTAAAATTTCATTAAAAATCATAATTTGACTTCATTATATTAAAACTATACTCGCTAATTTTTGATGGTTTTGAATTACTTAATAAAAGTTTATGGTAATTAAATTTAAGTCGCTTGTAATTTTGATAATCGTTAAAGTAAAAGTGTTTCTTATTACAACTAAAAATAAAATAAAAGTTTAAATTCTATGAATATTTTAGTAAATCATTAAAAAAAATGTGGAAAAGTAAGAATGAATTTTATGCCAAATGGAATTTCAAGGTATTTAAACAAAGAAAATATGAAAGCGCCATAGTTTAAATAAGTTCAATCTGTAATATTGTAAGGAATTTAAGATAAGTGCATAAATAGTTGAAAAATAATTTTAAATATTTAGGAAACTACTAGGTTCTTATTCTATCAAAAGTTCTCATTCTATGGAAATTAATTTTTGTGCTTTCTAAAATACCGGGTGGGTACAGTGCGACTTGTTAATAATAAAAAAATATCACAAAAATCGTGAGCACTGAAGGTAATTCAGTTGATTTTTATCAGTTAATTTTTTATATAAAATAAATGAATCGGAAATTCAGAACTCCTTAATAAAGCCTCGAATCTAAGTTACACTTCATATTTTTGAAATAGCTGAATAAAAATAATAATCGAAATTCGATAAATGCTTATTTACTAGAGATAACTCTGATCCAAATTTAAACAAAAAAAAAAAACTCACTAAAACAACTAGATATATAATTGAATTTAAATCACAAAATATTCGAAACCAAAATTCAATCGATACTCAATTGCTTAAAACTTCCTTCTATTCCAAATAAATCTGAAGCATCTTTTGGTTTTCCTGGTCTTACATTTTCATTTACTTTACGTTTTTCTAAATCTTCAAAAAAATTTTGATTTTTAATTGCATTTTGATAAGCTCTTGCTAAAAATAAAAGCAAATACACAAATTTATAGATGTAAGCATATTGATAACAAAAATTTTTAATATGAACACATTAATTACCACACATTTCTTCAGCAGGACCTTCTTTACCACCATATTCTGTTGGTAAAATTTCTAAAGGAACAAATTGATCTAAACCATCTAATTTGTTATGCAAATGTAAAACATCAATTAATTCTTTTTTCATAAAAGGTCGAACTAATGCCAATATTTTATCTGAAAATGGTACAATATTGACAAAATGAAATCCAACGATTCTTATAGGTGAAGCATCCTATAAAAAAATTGTAATTTTTAATACTTATTTATTATATAAATGTATGTATGTCGATATACATATATTAAAATTTTTTAATACCTGTAAATAATAGATAAATTTTTTTAACACTAAAGGAGCCAGGCGCGCAACATGTCCCAAAGTTACACCGCTATGATCTAATATAATTATATGACCTGGAGCTGTACCATTTTCTCGCAATGACAAATCGAATGTTGTAAAAAATCTGCAATATTTTTTTTTTAATAATATAAAAAATTTTACATTTATGAAAGGCAGTAGATGAATTTAATTAATTTTTTTTAATTTCATTGGAACATTCCTTGCTCAAACCATCAATAGAAAGCTACCAATGCAACAAGTAATTTTAGCGTAAATTTTCGTTACAAACTATTTTTCGTTTAAGATATTCTTAATTCCAAAACCTTTCAAATGCTGTTGTTTAGTTCTATAACGTTTAATTTAGATTAAGAGCCTCAATTATAAGTAACTTATTTACAAATTTGAAGAACAAAGCTGAAGCAGAGCTAACGTATTTTGACTTACAATATTACTGTTTCGATTTACAAAATGCTAAATGTTCAGTTTGACATTAAAACAAAAAAAAATGCAACATTACATAATATTTAAAACTCAATTATTTTGTAAATATGAATTTAAATTTGAAATATCACGATTTATAATAGATGTGTACATAAATGTAGATAACATTCACTGTCTTGAGAAATAACAGCTAACCAACGTAAAGCTATTAAAAATAAATTAGGTCTTTTCCAGTATAGTTATTATTTCATGTATACATCTATCGCTATCAATTTCTAATTTATGTACGTGACTATCTTGTATAGTGTTTTCAGCACACAATATTTCATGAAACTCTGATAAATTTAACAATATAATTTTAGGTTCATAACAATTAAGTTTATTTTGTTTATGTGATTGTTGACATAAAAACTTCTTATAGAAAATGAAACTATAAATTAAAAATTGTAATATCACTTTTCATGCATGTCAATCATAATTTATAACTTACGAGTATAAGTATGATTGACGTATAACTTATATGTATTTTAATTCCAATTTTCTTTTTATATATTTGACAGCAACTTTAAAAATTACAACTTTAAACTTTCTATATGGCTTAGTAGTTTCACGCATCTATCCATCCGTCCGTCCGTTCGTGGATCTACAAAACTTCTACACCCTTTTGAGATAGAAAGCGAAAATTTTATATAGAAATAGATCTTACTTACTTCCGAAAAAGCAAATTTTTACCTAAAAGTTCTCCCGTCTCCAAAAGTTATAGCCCTCGTAATTGATTGTAACGAAACTACAAACATTTTTTAAATTCTGCCGAAACAGCCGAAAAGTAATGGCTGGCTTCTTTTATACCGCGACGTAGCATAGTTGAGCATAGAGAATGAAAAAATGGCCACTAAAATTAACTGTTAATTGATATGACCTATGATGTGAAAAAGATAAATAAAAAACTTTTTAATTAAATTCATATTTTCTCGTATACCCCTAGCAGGACTTCATGAACGCCTGGGGGTCTATATGGACCACTTTGGGAATCATTTCTCTAGACGATAAATGTGAAGCTTTAAGATACTAATAAGTAGTTTATTTTGTTAGAAGAAAATTTTTCTCCACCTCCATCCCCTCTTAAGTTATTGCCTTTCAAAATTTGCAAAGTTTTAATTTTTAAGACCTTATATATCTGAAGTTGTAAACTTTTCCAAATTTCTACAAGTGCAAAAGGCTAACGGTAAATAAAAAATTATAATTATTTTTCTGACATATCCTTGAGTTCGACATTTATGATTTTATTTTTAATTCATCCTAAAAGTATGCAATATTTTGATATATTTTCGTATATTAATAAAATGCAGTAGATAGACAGTTATTGAAAGCAATAATTTCACTTGTTCAAGGGAAAAGTGCTAACTTACAAACCATTGGTTTGATCCTACTTTATTAATGTCTTTTTAATTAAAAATGCAATACTTGCAATAAATATAAGCCTTCTACGTTTGATTAAAAGCACATTATAAGAAAACATATTATTAATATTGTGTATAAATTTAAAATGCTAATCGAACACATACTATTCTCACTGCGCATTTAGTGACCGATACTCTTTAAAAATGATTATTGGATGTCTTCATAATTATTATTAGAGTCAAATTTTAATTTTGAAAATTTGAAATCTACTTTTTATATCGTTATAGATCACTTACAGTTTCAAGCATGAGGGTAGATGAAAATGTGTTGCATCAAAATTAGCTAATTTCCCAAAGAAAATTCGATGTCCTTCTGGTGTAGTTTTCTCATTAGGAAAAACAGATCTAAAATATACACATATACATGAGAATGGTATGAAAAATTCTACTGATTAATATACTGTACACAATTTTCATTGCTGTTTTTAGATCCTCTTTTTCAAAATTAATACCGGAAAATAATTCTGGAACATGAGTTCTCATTGTAAAATAGGTGTCGACAGTTTGTTTAGCCAATTGCATACTATAGTAACAAGAATGCAGAAATAAAATTGCTTCCAATTCTGTAACTTCAGGTAAATGAGGTTGTTGTTTTATCCATTCTAATAATTTTGATATTTCATCTGAACTCAATTCTTTATTTTTTTTATACTGTTCTATTGCCAAAGCGAAAACCATATTTTCAACTTTATTATTTTTTTTGTAATTTAAATATTATTACTTTATAACAGTGCGGAAACCAAAATTAACGTTCTTTTTAAATTAACTTACTAAAATATACTGAAATGTGTAAGATCATTTTTATTCACAAATTTAAAAAATGAAAAAAAAGCTTTATATTTCAAAATTACCACAAAAAAGTAATTTATTGTAACAGGTTAGTATGGCGAATATACGCATAAGTACTTGCGGAAAGCGAAACAGTATTCGTCAACCTTTTGTTTATTTCTGAATTTTCTATTATAATTTATGGTTTTGGAGTTCTCTGAAAACTAGAACTATTAAACCATTTTTAAGTAGTTTTCATGTACGCAGGGAATTTCATATTAACAATAAAATTTACTAAAACATATAAGCTCCTATTATTTACTTCTTTCTGCCATAATTTTAAATATTAATTTAAGAAAATAAGGGAGAAAAAAATATAAATTTGAATGTAGTCTTTTATTTTCACAAAACAAAGATTTTAAAGGAATTCATTTTAAAATATAAATTTTAATGGGACAGCTTCCTGTTATTAGCTTTAAAAAGTTTCTTTTTTAAAAAAAATCCAAATTCTCTTAAAAAACGACAAATTTTTCGTGTAAAAATTGAAAAACCAGATCTTCTATTCGTTCATATCATATAGATCGAATAGAAACATATTTTCAAATCGTTTCTAAAATCGTTCCTCAAAACAGATATTCTATTCATTCCTAAAATACTTCAAAATTGGTTCAATATGCATTTGTCTGTATACAGAAATGAATACGGTTCTCATTATGTATAAAATTACATATTACAGATTTTATTTATCTGAATTCAGCAAAGTTGAACTATAAGAGAGAATAATTTATTTAAATATTAAATTATATTTAACAAAAGTATTACCTAATAATGATTAAGCATAAATATTTTTTAAAAAATGTTTTATTGTTATACGAACATGTCATTATCGTAAATTCTCATTTTAAACCAGAATATCAAAATATTAATATACATTTTTTAAACATACAAATGAAAATGAACAGCACACATACTTAATATACTTAATGAAATATTCTGATTTTTTCATTTTACTGATTTCAGTAAAGCTTTCATTTTTACTTTAACAATTTTTGTATTTGATTTTAGAAAATATTTTAGGCTACCTTTTTATTGTGAATAAGCATACTTATTATGTTTTTTAATTTATTTGAGGAAGCATTCTTTTATTTGTGGTCCACCAAATAAAAATATTTTCAGTAACATTCAAGATATTATGGCATCTGGAGTTACTGTAGCCTTAACTGTTACTGTACAATTTTTTAATTAAATTTATCAATCATCTTATAAAAAATTTTGGAAATTTTTATGGTATTTTTACCTGAATTTAAAAAAATTAATTTTCTTAAAAAATTTCTTTCTTTTTTTACTTTTATATGGCCAACATTTAGTAGATTTAGGATAATAATTATTATGAAGTCATTATTTAAATATGTCAAGCGTTAAGCAACAAATTATACTATACCAAGTATAATATAATTACTATAAATACTAATTATAGTAGTTTATAGTAAAGGTTTACTGTTTTATATTTGTAAATTATTTGATATTTGAATGAAAATTAATTTGAAAATAATATTATTCTCCAAACCTAGTTATTGAAGTTCAAAAATATTTATTAAGCTATATGCGTTACTGTATTTGTATAACAGTTAACAACTATTAAGAAAAGTTTTAAAAACTCTTTAATTTTGAAAGTAATTCATAAAACTGTTCCTAAAAGAAAATGAAATTAAAAGATAATAAGAGGTTACACATATTATTCACAAGCTTAAACGACAGTTTTCTGCCAATACCATGAAACCTGATGAATGTTTATTCTGAATTTTGATCTTAAAGTTTTTATAATTTTTCCCTTCTTATAATTTTACAAGCATTCTGTAAAACTGTTTTAAAGATTTACGTATCTACAATAGTTTCAAAATTTAAGTATATAGATTATATGTAGAACTATGTGTTATATTCAGAATAATGCTGCATCCTGTGTTGGAACTTAAACTCTGTTTAGTTATTTGAATGTCTCTTGACACGATGACAAACATCTACATATTATGTATATTTTTTTATTTTATTGGCTGATGAACTTAATTTCTAAATTGTTTTCATTTTTACGTTATTAAAATCAATCATATTCCAAAAAAAACCTTGATTTTTATTAATTAAAAATTTGTACACAACAATGTAACAAAAATTTACAACATATTTTGGCAACTCTCATTATTATTAATAATAATTAAATTCATTCAATTTTATTGTTCCTATTATTAATCAAAATTTAAGTTATTCAAAACCGAGTTATTCAAAAATATTAACAAAAAAATTTAAATATCTCATAACTTCATCGAATAATTCAAAATTAATAAATTACATAAAAAATTACAATTTTTATTAATAAATTGCAAAAACTTATTCACTCAAAAATGGTTTGGTTAAAAACAATAATTAAATTTTTACATATTAATTTATAATTTATGATATTTAATAAGTTTACACATATATACTTTTATATAGTTACACATTTTCAGATAGACACCGCTACAATCACAAATAAAAAGCTTTATATAACTTTTAAAAACCAATATACCACTTTTATAGTTTAAATAAATAATTATTAAATCAAAAAAAGAAATATTAATTAATTAATATTAATCAATATCTAATTTTTTGAAATTACCCTCAATTCCAAATAAAACTGATGCATCTTTTGGTTTACCAGGTCTTGCTTTCTCATTGACCTTTCGAGTTTCTAATTCAGTAAAAAAATCTTGATTTTCAATACAATGTTTATATATATTTTCTAAAATAATGTAAAAAATGGCACGATATTTTGTTAATTGTATATTTAAAAAAAGAAAAAATAAATTGAAATTATTATAATTACCACATAACTCATTTCCATTTCCCTCTAAACCCCCATATTCCTTTGGTAATATTTCTAATGGTATGAATTTTTTTAAAGATTCCATATTTTCATGAAAATGCAATATTTCAGAAAGTTCTTTTTTCATAAATGGACGCATTAATGCTAAAATTTTGTCGGAAAATGGTACAATATTAATAAAATGAAATCCAACAATTCGTATTGGTGCCGCATCCTAAACATGTAAATATAATTTAAAAATTAAATTTACTTATAACCGTTTACAAAAATATTAAATAAAATTAATTACTTGTAAGAAATATAAAAATTTCTTCATTGTTAGTGGGCCCAATCTAGCAACATGACCTAAACTTACGCCAGTTAAATCTAATATTATTATATGTCCTGGAGCACTACCACCTTCACGTAATGTTAAATCAAATATCATAGAAAATCTGAAATTGAAATTTATAAAAAAAAATATTTTGATTATTTTTAACATTAATTAATATTGTTCTATACTTGGAACACTGTCCAGATAAACATAATTTTAACTATACATACATATATCACAAATATTAATTTTGCTAGAGTTAACTCACATTAAAATCTGTTTACAGAAATTTTGAATTGAAATGTGAACTTGTATAATAAGTTTTCAATGAGAATAAAGTTATGTACATTAAAATTTTATGTGTTGCCTACAAGGACATTGTTTTAATTTTATTGTTTCTTTAATTGTAAACTGTAATTTGAACGTAAGTATGTTGCTTAATTTTATTGTCTTATTACTTTACCGATCTGAAAATCAAAAATATCACTTATATGTACACGTACTTATAATTATGAAGCTTGACAATCTTCAATATCATGAATGACTTTTTATTGCTTTAACTTACTTAAACTATTTATATGAAAAATTTAGGAAACAACAATTTTTTAAAAAAAATTTTTATAATAATTAACACCCAAAAATCATATATAGCTACAAGCTTACTAATTAATTTCTTTAACAGCTTGTATTCATTCAAAGTATTAAATGTACAGTAAAGCCCATGTATGCATATATACTTACATACATTCAACAATATTTTTCGCTTTCTATATATTATGCCTATTTCATAGGAACCAATTTTGCAATTTGCCTTGGTGAGTAAAGCAAATTTTTTCGAGTTTCCTTTAAGAGTATACAAGACATTTTAACTCTTACTGTAGCAGGCATTCGAAAGAAACCACTCATATTTGTTTGGTTGATAGCTTTATTTTATATGAAAAATTAAATTTAAATCATTTATATTTAAAAAAATGTTCGTTCAGTTTCTACTTCTACATAACAAGGCTTTTCACACAAAACAACACAAATTAATCCGAAGTATATAGTTCGGATTGTTTGTCGTTAAACTCTCAATATTTGTGAAGGAACACAAGAGTATTGAAAGTTTAACGTTAAAAATTAAATTGTATATCTAAAGATTATGAATTGTTTATAAAGATAATCTGATTTTCAAGGATTTAAAAACGGGTTCAAAAAAGATAAATAATTGTATTATGAGATTCATTAATTTCGCATTAATTTTAAAAATTTTGGCTTGCAAGTTTATTCAAAATTAATTTACCATTAATGAGATTTTTTTGTTTTTTCTACCTAACTAAAAGCTTTTTAAGGAAATAAATTAAAATATTAAACGACAGGTCGTAAGTATTTTGGTCAAACATGTTTTAAAAATGAAAGTCCTATACATAAGTAATAAATTTATTATAGAAAAAATTACTACGGCAATTAAAAATGAATGCTTGTGTGCGGACAGATTGCATTTCAACAACCAAATAACTGTTTACTGCTGCAGCTGTGACTATTTTTACATTTATTTTTAAATTAATTAAAATCAATGATCGTAAGGTATACTCGTAGACATAATACACATACTTATTATAAAACTTATTTATGAATATAAATTGCTGCATGCATATGCGAGAACAAAAAATTGGAATTGTAGATTAATTGCAGTATTGAACAAGTAAAAATGTTTTAATCGGTCTAAACCGACTGAATTATACCTTGAAAATCTAACTATTAAAATTTTTTTTTTGAAATATTTAGAATTACCTTTCAAGGTTGCAGGACAATTACTCGAGTCAGTCAAACCATTCACAAGAAACTTCAAGGATATGTGCTACATATAATTGAACATGTGACTACCTTAGTTACATGAATCTAGCTTTATTATTTTTCCGAATATATAAAATTAGTTTTTGGAGTTGGAAGGCAGTCACCCGGACCGCTGCATCTATCCTATTAAAATTTTTGGAACATGTGTAGAATATTTAATTGGACACATGTATACAAAATTTCATATTTATATTTTTATTAGTTTTCGAAATATTTTAAGAATATTTTGAGTTCTATGGCAGTTACTCGAACCAATGGTTCGAATGGGTCTAATTACAAGAGGGTTCGTCCTTGGCGCAAAAGAAACAAATTGTGAATGTCTGGTATATGCTTAGCTCGTTTTTGAGTTATCGTGCTATTGGACGGATGAACGGATAGATGGACGGGCATGTTTTAATCAACGAAGAATTTTACGCCGAGCAAGCACATATAAACATGTTCATACAACAGATTTACAACTCAACAGAACTCCTTTAAGTGGTTACAATCTCCTTACCAAAGTTTATATAATAAACATTGGCTTCATGAAGGTGCAGGATATAAAAAAAATTACAATTTGAGTTTGCATTTAAACTAATATTGAATTGTTATTGAAAATGAAAAATATTTTTAAATGGTGAAAGAACATATTTCAATACCGCACAATTTTAAAATTATTTACGTATAGTCTTAAAAATATAAAATTTATATTGTTTGTTGTCAAGGTTTGATATTGCGTTATTTTTTATAGCTTTTATTCAAAAAGAATATGCAATTAAATTATTACCACAAAATTGTCGCAAAATCAACCTGACTTCGTAAAAAACAGGAATGTATAAAAAGAGTTCATATATTATTAATTGAAATTTTAAAAGTATATATATATATAAATACAATATTAAAATAAATATACCTACAATTTAATACCTGATGCAAAATTAAAGTTTCTAGCGTCAAAATTAGCTAATCTACCAATATAAATTTTATAACCTTCTGGTGTAGATTTTTCAATTGGAAATATTGTTCTAAAAAACAAAAAAAATATTTCATTTCGAAATTCTGAAAATTCTTGAATTGATCAATATTACGAATTATTCATCGCTAGTTTCATCTCATCGCTACTTAAATCTAGTCTGTGGAAAAATTCCGGAACATGAGTTCGCATCGTAACAAAAGTATCAATTGTTTGTTTAGCTAATTCTATGCTATAATAACATGAATGTAAAAATAAACTTGCTTCTAAATCTGCAATTTCCGGTAAATGAGGTTGTTGATTTATCCATTCCATTAATTTTTTAAGTTCATCTGGATTTAAATCAGGATTCTTTTTGAATTCTTCTTCAATTGGAAACAATTTCATTTTTATATAAAAAATATTTAATTATAATCCTCTATATATTATACTGGTGTTATAATTAGCACGAATATTTAAGTCAAATATTGTTTTCGTTTGAAAGTTCAAAAACATACTAAAAGAATTTAAAGCAAACTGCAAAAATAAAAAAATATTCTTGTAAAACAAGTAAAAAAAAATTTAAAGTTTTATATTCGAAATTTTTTCAAAGCTTTAAATTAGTTTTTGGAAAATGTACTACATATTCATATAAATGTTTACACAGGGTGGTTCAGTAAAGAGTACAAATTTGTTTAGAGCATCAAAAATGATTAAAATTTTTACTTAGAAATAGTTATCAAATATCAACGGTTTCCGAGATACAGGCATTTTAACAAAATTTCTACTTAACCACACTTTTTTGCTTATAACTTCCCTGCCAAAAAAGATAGAAGCTGCTTCTAAAAGAGCTAGTGAAGGGCTTAAAAAGACCTTAATTTAATTTTTTTTTACCAAAATTTGAAATGTTTTTACAAAATAAACAACAAATGTGATCAAAAATTAATTATAGTTGCTAATTAAATCACTGAAAATCAATAAAAATCAAAAATAGTGACATAATTTTTTTGATTTTTTACATTTTAATTACGGCCTTCATAATCTTGACAAATAAATTATTTTTGGGCTATATATCCTGAACTTTAAAAGATTTTTAACGTTTGAGGACTTACATTATAGTTTAATCAGCTGCGCAAAATTTCAAAGTTTCAAAAAATTTCAAACATATCTTATCTGGTCTCCCATATAATTATCTAGTTAGAGAAACCCAAAAAATTAAAATAGGGGTATAAAATTTCATTTTTCCTCAAGTTCGAATACTTGGTATTCCGAAAGTATATCAAATACAAAATCAAGTAATATATTGTCTTAAAGCTCTTCACCAACCCTTTCCAAGGGAAGCTATAAGCAAAAAAGCTTGGGCAAGTAGAAATTTCATGAAAATTCGATAAAATCCTGTATTTCGATAAATCCCTGTATTTCGGAAACAGTTGAAATTCGGCTATTAATTCCAAATAAAAATTTTACCCATTTTTGATGCCCTAAACAATGATATATAATTTTGTATTCTTTACTGAATCACCCTATATAACAACATTAATAAAAATAACTATTGTATACCTAATTAGAAGTCAAAAAACCCAACACTTTAAATTATAATTAGTTATATCAAAAAATATCTATAGATTTAAAATTTTCAAACTAAAGAAAAAAGAATTTGAAGCAACTGTAGGATAGGCTAGCAATTTTTAAAATTCTGAAAGGTTTTGAAATAATATTCTTATTACAATGAAATTTTTAAAATTATAGAAATGCCTTTATAATTAAATTATTCACAATTTTAATACTGGAAACAAAATTAATTTCCTTATTAAACTGATTGTAGCAATTGTTTTATAAGCAACTTGATAATTCATTTGACTTTTTCTGTCTTTTCTTAATTGTACTACTTTAAAAATAAAACAAAATTAAGATAGAATTATTTACTAAATTAACAAGGAATCTCCAACGCCATGCTTTGAGTTTGGTATAGTACAGTGAAGGGAATGCACTGAATGGGGTGTTTTTAATAGGGTTACCAATGAAATGTTAATTCCATTATACCACTCTAACACGGTTCGCAAGCTTTCGAAATATGTAATTTTAAATATCGTTTTTTTCTTGTCCGGTGATGTGCATCTGCTTATTAATGTACTCGTACTTACTTAATTTTTGTTTTTAGGAAATAAAATTAATTGCTGCTTTTAATTCTGCTACACAGAGATTAAACGATATGGTAAGAGTTTAATACGTACGTATATATTATAGATATCGGGTTTCATTAGACTGTGATTGCTAATTAATGGAGGGTTAATTATACACTCCTCTCTATAAGTTAAATATACTTAAAATTTATGATGTTATTGCTGCAGTAATAATTTTTAAAATCAAATTAAAATTATTAAAAATCCCGATTTACCTTGATTACGGTATTTTAAAGCTGGTTACAATATTGTTATGCTTCGATGTTAAGCACTTTATTAAAATTTGTACTTTGTACCTTAGTGATGTTTAATTTCAAAGAAAAATGTAAATGTTAATTGAAATTAAATGATAATTCCAATATATTAATAATTCTAATATTTCTAATATGATAATTTTTGAATTGATATTGAAAATATCGTTGTTGTAAAACAAGTCAAACAAGATCATAAGTGTGTTGGCTGAGAGAAACGAGGGTTACGAATAAAAGGTGTTCAATGACAGTCTGTTATAATTTTTTATCATAATGTCTAAAATTCATTCGTTGTATAAAATTCAACCCCTGTTACAAGGATTCTTAAGTGCCTTGCGGCAGTGTGATTGGAGATAATGACAGCGCTTTCTATGCAGCCTAACTGTAATCGTAAACTTAAACTCTTGTTATTTTCTGTACCCGGAATGCCAGCCATCGCCGATTCTAAATTGCTAGAATGTCTTTCTGGAAGTCGTTGCACCAATCAGGGAAGTCTGTGCCGTGAGCTAGTCGGAATGTTAAAAGATAAATTGCCTGTCCCCGTTTTGGAATCCATTTCGAGCCATCTGAATAAAAAGTTATTGTGATGTAAGTCGTCAGTCCATTGCATCCAGCCCTCTCTATTTGTCACCCGGACTGATTATTTATAATGTCGGAATGATAATGAGTATATATCAACACCATATAGTTAAACTCGATACAATAACTAAATACAATCAGTATGGGGACAGACTAAGTTGTAATAAACGTAGATTTAATAAAGCAAAAGAAAGTTATTACCTTTTACGTACTAAGATCAGAATTCCAAAAAAGTAACACTTTCTATTCTGCCATCTATACGTTTTAATTTTTTAAGCTTAGACTTTGATATTTAAAATTAGAATTCGAAATCTTGTGATAAGGGTGCTCATAAGAATTAAAAACGCAATTATTTTTTTTTTTCAAATTTTATTCGCCATTGTAAAATTGATACATATGACATATTTGTAATTGTTTTTCTTTTTTATTTTCTTTTCTCTGTTTCACATATATATGTATATATATATAATATATGTGTATATAATATATATACATATTTTCTATGTTTACATATGAAAAGTTTGCGATTTAATTAATATTCTTTTAGTAGTTAATATATATATATATATATATATATATATATATATATATATATAAATATATATATATATATATATATATATATATATATATATATATATGTAATATAATAATTTAAATGTTATACAAATAATACTAATAATTAATAAGATATTTTTAGGTATAAAGTGGATAAAATACATTAAATTTTATTTTATACTTTTTTTTTTGTTTTTTATTTTTATGATTTAGAGATTTTTATAAGTTTTTTGATTTTATTTATTTTTTTTTTATTTTTTTTATTTTTTTTAATATTTTATAATATAATATATCCATTTTTTTTTTGTTTTTTTTATAATTTTATATACTTTACTTTTTCGATCGGTATAAAAGTACAAAAGATATAAAAATCATAAATTATTTTAAACATTTTTTAAAAATTCTTTTTTTTTTTTTGTTTTTTAGTCTCAAGTTTATTTTTTTATTTATTTCTCTTTGTTTTGTATTAAATTTTTGTGTACTTTCTTCAATGATCATTATATTTATTTTATTCAAAAATTTCTCTTTTTTTTCTTTTTTAATATATTGTTTCATTGTTAATATCTTTATGATTTTGTAAAAAAAAAATTCTATTTTTCTTTGTCCTATATAAGTTTTCCATTCTCTCCTTTTTTTATTTTAAATTTTTTTTTTAATTTTTACCAAAGAAAACAAGCAATAATATCTTTAATTATTTTGTATTTTGTTTTATATGTTTTTGTAAGTTTTTTTTTATCATTAATATTTTTGTTAATTTAAATTGTTCATTTAATAAATATAATCTAGTGTTTTTGTGTTTTTATAAAATGAAAAAAAAAAAATTATTTTATATTTTTTAATTGTGTTTCTTATTTTTTTTTCTGTTTTTTGGTTTGTTTTATATGTTTATTTTATATTTAATAATTTGTAATTGTATATCTGTCATATTTTTCCTAATTTGCTATATTATTTTGTTTTTATTGATTTGTTCATATTTTCTATTATAAAGTATGTGATTTTTTTGTTTAATTTTATTAATTTTTTTACTTCATATTTTTTTTTTTAATATAATGTGTCTATGTATATAAATATTTTATTTGAGTAAGTTTAAATAATTGTTTAAAATTTTAAAAATTTCTTTTGTCTTTTGTTTTGTTTTTTTGTCTTAAATAATTAATTCTCTTTGCCTTTTTGTGGTAGGTAGAAATGTTTTTTACTTGTACAAAATTCTTGTTGATTTTTTTTTAAATGTTTCTTTATTTATTTATTTTTTTTATTTGCTTCAATATTTATATATATATATATATATATTTATGTATATATATGTTTGGGAAATAAAAATAAAAACAGAAAAATATATGTATCCTGAATTACATTCGATATCGCTGAATGAAACCCCTTCAATCGTCAAATTTATTTAAAATGATATAAGAGATTTTTAAAAACGCAATATGTATCGCAAAACAATACCTGCGAAATACAATATTGCAAAAACATAATGTAATAATTAATGAATATGCAATATGTTTTTAACCTATTCTATAAAATCAAAACATTTCATATGATTTAACTGTTCTACTCTTACTAATTTCGCCATATTGCGAAAATTTAGAAATATTTATGAACAGATTTGATTTGCAATACAAGTTTTATGAAATTATATACAGCGCAATTTTCGCTATATATATCGCAATATATTGCGTTTATGAAAAGAACTTAATGTTAACAAATATTGAATGTAAATTTAAATCAAATTGGGTAATTTTATATTACTGTTATATAAAATTATTTCAAACATATTTGACTGATTCTAGATGACTAAAGGGGGTTGTTTTCTTTTTTTTGAAATGATAAAATG